CCGGAAAAGATCATAGAGACTCCTACAACAGAAATTCCGAAAGGCAACGAACCTCGACCCAGGAGGAATCCAGGCCCGCCTAAATTTTATGGAGACAGGCGCTTCATAGGCCAAGTTGCCCTAGGAACAGAGACCACCGAAATCGCGGATTCCGACGACGAATCTCTGATAACTTTTTCTGGCTCGAAAAGTTTACAGACGACTTTTTCCTCAGACTCCCCATCGGATTACTTGACGCCACTCGAGGAGATACTCCCCCATCTAACACTGGTGGCGGAAACTACGCAAGGTTCCTCGTCAACTCTTTCATCTATGACACCAAAGATCGCGGTACTATCCTCTCCATTGGAGGAAGTCAGACCCGACATTCAGGACGATGATGGGAGTGATATATCTTCAGTCATAGATATAGAAGTAAGAAAGGAGGCGGAAAGTTTTCATGATAAATTTAACTCCACATCTTAAAACTCTTAAAACTCCAAGACTCTTTTAGCGAAACTCAATAGAGCTGATTTTACCATTGGTTAATCATTTTACCTAATTTTACCAATTCTCAGTTTTAACAATTTTGTACAATTTAGTTAGTTAGTTATGTAATTTAACCTGTTAAATTCGTTTATATGTCACATAACCCCAATTTTACATAACATTTCGTCATTTGTATAGTCGCTGTATATATCTGTTTCATCTTGTAGGTAGCCTGTAAATATTACCACATAGTCATCTCCATTCTAAATTGTATTATCGTAGTAAATATTGTAAATTGTAGTATTTTAGTATGTTTTAACCTTGACCTCTTTGTATTAATTAAGTACCAGTTAACGTTTACTCTACGAAGTCCAGTGGACTTCGCGTCACTAGTTCCTCTTTTGAGACATCGATTAGTTTTAATTTAATAGCTTATTTTATTCCTTTTTAACTTAGTTTAGTTAGAATAGTTACCTGTGGTATTTTCACACTTTTATTATTTCTCAGCTATGATAATGAAAGTTGCTCAGCATCGAAAACTTTGTTTAAAAATCCTGTTATGTTTACGCTTTACCTCATTATCTTTGGTATGACTCATCAGGGTCAAGTTAATTCATAATAAATCTCAAAAATTATTGAACATGGGAATGAACACAAAAATTGAGCAGCATCAAAAACCATGCTGGAAAAATGTGTGCTGCTGAGGTTTTGCGCCATCAATTGTAGCATGAATAGTCAAAAACATTTTAAACATCTTGTATCTCATTAACTGTTAATTTTTCGACCATTTGCATGAACATCAAGATTGCTCAGTATCAAATATTAGTTTACAAATATGTTTAAAAAAAAACTTTGTTCGTACAAATTTTGCCTCATTAATTGTAAGTGACTCATTAAAAACATGCGACATTATCTGTTCTCTCAAGAATTAATAATTTTGTGACCCTAAACATGAGTAAAAAATTTTTCTCAGCATCACAAAGGTACGAATACTTTGGTTGATTTGGCCACATACCTCTGATATGACTCATGTAGATCCTGTTACATCTCTTGCTCTCTGTTGACTTTTTACCATAACTTTGAATCACAAACTTAGTCAGCCTTGAATTTTATGCATTTTTTCAGTAGTAAGAACAAACTGTCATTCGCCAACTTCATATTACAACTTTTTGTATCTAAGTAGATTTTGTTTTTGTTCGAACGAAAACTTGAAAATCAAAAGTGTCAGCTTTAGAGACTATGTTGAAACAATGTTTCGTTCAAACATTTGACCATTTTAGGCTGTATGAACCAGGTAATGCGAATAGTTTTTCCTTGCATTGACTAAAAAATTTGGAGCATCCGCTGAAAAATTTTACAATCAAAAATTAATATTCTGTAAGGGTGCACCATTCAATTCTGGTTCACTAGATGAAATAGCACTAAATTAGAACTCTTACATGCTTTGTTACCTGATCAGCGCTTAATGTTCTGAACATAATTTGAAAAAACTATTTGTCATCAAAATTTCTTTCCTGTTAAAAAAAGAAAATCCTTTGAATTTTGACTCATCAGTAGAAAAAAGAAAGGTTGTCCTATTGAATATACTTTGTTTGACCATACACAAACCAAAAAAAATCCTCACAAGTAAAAAAAAATAAAAAAATTGTTTTCTAGATTTATGTAATCCCGTACTGAGAAAATTCTTTAATTCTGTCAAGAAATACATAATTTCCGATTTCAATTTCTGGTCAGGAATTCTTTGCGAAATGTTTAAATAAAGCATGGATTTTCTATAGATACTTTATTTCTAATCCAATTTCTGGTCAGAAATTTTCAAAATCTAGGCTATTTCTAATCAGAAAAAGCTTTTTTCTAATCTAACTTCTGTTCAGAACTTTTCTTAATCTGGGCTATATCTAATCAGAAAAAGTTTTTTTCTAATCTAATTTCTGTTCAGAAATTTTCTTAATCTGGGCTATTTCTAATCAGAAAAAGCTTTTTCTAATCTAATTTCTGTTCAGAAATTTTCTTAATCTGGGCTATTTCTAAGCAGAAAATCCTTTTTTCTTATCCAATTTAAGGTCAATAACTTTCTAAATCTATGCTCTAGAACAGAAAAAATAAGGCTTAAATAGGTTAAATTGCATCAATTGACTTGATTAGAAACAGGAAATTTCATCGTTGGTTTTGTGTAATAGAGTTGCGTTAATTTAAAGTCGAGTCCAGTTTCTTTCTTTTTCTGTTGGTTTTCATTTCAGTTCCTAAAAGAATGGATATTCTACACTTTAGAAATATTTATCAGTTTGAGGATTAATATGACTCTTCGTTATTTGGGTTATTGTCGTTGTCCTGGTCGTCGTCCTGCAGGACCTGTTCGTAATCCATCTCCGCCTCTTCCAACCCCTCTCCCACTTACCAGTGGATGAAGGCTCTCCTGCAGATATAGACAAATAAGCAATCAACATCCAGATAAACACACCAGAAGTAACAGTAATAGGCAGTGGCTCATTTTGTCTAAAAACTGGGGTGGGGTGGGGGTTCCTCATTGGCAGAAAGGCTCCTTTTAATTGCTGTGTTGAACAATGAATTTTTCACCGCATTCGATCAATGAAATAAGCTTTTTTAACAACTCCAGGAACACATCTCGTTATTGAGAGTTATTAGATGGGAAACATTCAGGAAAATACCAACAAAGAATCCATTCAAAATATCCGTTTATTTGATTTCGCCAATTTCAATGGACAAAATAAATAGCAAGAAAAAACAAAGGATATCAAATTTTGAAACGTAGCCAACCCAGTGTGCTATTAATACAGTAACTGAAATAGCTCAAAACGTTCCTGGCTGTGGAACTCTCTGCTCTTTGGAACAGTTCATAGAAGTTTTGGCTCCGATGACAGTCCAAGACTACAAAGCAGAGTGCTCATTGAACAATTCCCAGACCTCAAATTCGGCTCAATTGCATCTTTCAGTCAGCGATCCGGAGAACAATTCAAAGAAGGAGAAAACTACTGAAATGGCAAGCCAAAACTCTAAAGGTGCTATTAGTTCACAAATCAACAAGGCTCAAACTTGTGACAAAAAAAAAACAAAAAAGGCAAAAAAGGTAGTGACGTATAGGTGAAAGTGATCAATCTGGAAGGTATTGTTGTCTTGAAAAAAATCAAATATTTCTGTAAAAACAAGACACGTGACAAACTTGAAGTGGACTTTCGAAAATTTGTTTTAGAAAAATCGATTTTTTTTTTTATTTTTCAGAATAGAAATGGTTTATTTCTAACCTTAGATAAGAAATAAAAAATTTCTGTACAGAAAAAACGGGAAAACTTGGTGAGATAATCTACAGAGAATTTCTATCTAGAAAAACAGCTTCCGTTCGGTACGGGATGAAACATATTTGTTATTTATCATCCAAAAAACGTTTTCGTCGATTTAAACAAAATCAACAAGTAACCCTGTCACTGAAAACTTAGTATCGTAATGATGAAGTATTTTCATTGTTTTTGAAAGCTTATCAGTGCAGAGAACCCAGTGCTTGCAAAAGACTTGAATTTCAATATCAAACTTTTATTTAAAAAATTAACAAACGATAAAAAATGTGAAAAAAGTTCCAGCAAAATTATCCGGTTGAGTATCTGGGGCTATTTTAATTCAGGTTAACTTTAACTATTCGTCAAATCTCGTCAGTTTTTTTTAAAATCATTTTTATAACCTTGTGCGTTTTTGTTGGAATTGATTGACGTTTTATAGACTCCAGCTCACAATCACGGCAAGTGTAAAAGTTTGCGATGATCTCAGACTTAAAAGACTTTAAGCCAGTCAGTGCGTAACCTTTTGAATATTCTGCAGATATCACATAGATTAAATATTTCAAAATTATCTGATAGCGAATCAGGCGCAGAACAAAAATGAGTGTCATAAAAACCAAATAAGAATCTTTTCCGTGGTGAAGATATTGAAACTAATTTAAATCCGCTGCTGAATCCCAGGAAACTACAATTTTCCTTAATTCATTGCAGCATTAGAAGTTGGAGTGGAAAGCAAAAGGTTTAGAAAATGGGCTGAGATATGGGTTCTGAAACGGATGTGAACTTATTGATTACGTCTCAAATGGAAGAACTCCCAAATGGCATAAGAATGCGAAACTTCCCAATTTCATACAGCAGTTGCATTGAAAAAACATTATTTGGAGAGAACGTTTTTGTAAGCAAGTTGTAAAAAGTAGTAGAGTTGTCGACCGCAGATGATCGATGAGCGATAAGCGAATCATTTGAAGAGCGAAATTTTATCGTGAAAAAGTTTCAATATTTCTTATTAAAAGTTTGCTGTTGCTAATAAGTTTCGTGTGATTAGTCCGTTCTGCATATAAATATTGCACAACAATTTTGGAAATAATTATTTGCAAACTTGTTCACATGTTTTTGTTCACGGTAAAAAGGGAAAATATGAATTAATGGAAAACGTGAAAACATGAATTTTTTATGCCTTTACAAAATTTCAATTTTATGACATTTCGGAAGTATGCCTTTGTTACTTTTGTTCTTTGAAAGGTACTTCCCCTTTGACTCCCATGTGTGCAAAATAAGTGTGGGCTCCTGGTCCTACCCGCCCACAGAGGTCGATGTGCGTCCTGGATTTTACGCCAACGGCATCTTGTGAGTTATTTACAGGAAGTTAACACCAATTTTATGTACTAACTAATTTATGACTCGGAAAACTACTAACTTAGCAATAAAAATCTATTTAACTTAACGTCCCCAGTCAAAGTTGGGTTCGGAAACCTGCTAATTTAGCAAAAATAAGAGCCAAATTACCATAAGTAACTCGATACCTTCAGATTTTCAAAAACAAAGCTATGATATTTGGCATTCAATATGATAATCTTAATTTCGAACAAAAACAAACGGCGTATGACTTCTCCTGAGCTGCAGTCAAAATCTTTAACATAAAAAACCTTGATCAAAATCCTTTTGCAAGAAAAAGCTTCTTATTGGATTTTGGAATTTTAATTGATCCGATTTTGGAACGAAAAATTAGAATAAAAAGCATATTCGACAATCATTGTAAAAAAAGCCAATGGGAAAACAAATTTTGTTTTTATTAGAAAAACGAAAAAAATTGCGAAAAAAATTTTTCCTTTTCCGAATTTTAGCTTAAATTTCAAACCCATACTGAGAAAATTTCAAACCCATATAAAAAAATTCCGTCAAAAATTCCTGATTGTATTCCCCAATAGAATGTATAAAAAAAACTTGACATATTTTGCGTCTAATAACGTACTGAAATTGATTTGGAAAGATTTAACTGCCGCTGTCGCTTTGATATATCTCGCATTAATGATCCCAATTTGAATTATTAGGATCCCAAATTGAATCCCCAAATTAAATTCCAAATTGGGATGCAAAATTAGAACTTAAACTGAATTTTCGGGATCTAAAAATAATTTAATGGGATCCCCAAATAAATATCAATTATGAATAGTATCAAAATTTTGTTCCGACTTTTGTAGCGAATGTAACGGAATATTTGTGCTCGGGGTGGTTTTTTGTGTTTGCTTAGACAAATTTCGACTTTTTAACTAGCCATTTTTGATAAAGTATTATTGCTTTGAGCTTAAATTTGAAAAAATATTTCATCCGTGTTTTTTCAATTGTGGCGGTTTAAAGGTTGCCATTTTGGCCAATTTGGGACAATTAACGCGCGATATATTGCGCGCTATTAACGAGTAATAAGCGGAGATTTAATCGCTCTTAAAAATCGTTCCAAATAGTTTGAAGGGAGTTTATGTGCCATAAATGATTTGTTACTAAGACGAAATTTATCACTTTGTACTTTTGTATGGCATGTAGGGAGATGTTTTTCGCAAAAAATCTAAAATTAAAAAAAAGTAGTTTTATTTCATCACATTTAGATTTTTCATGTTATTACTCCATAGGCCTTAAAAGGCAGTCAAAAACTCAAAGCTTTGCCCTGATATGAGCAGTCTTGTTATAAATAAAGCCAAAATGAAACCTTTGTATAACCTTACATCAAGTTAGACGCATAAAAAAGTTCTTTTTCTTATGAACTTTGGAAACTAATACCTTTCTGTTAGTATGAACATCAAAAAACGTCAGAGTTTTTGTGGCGAATAAAAAAAACTGACCGAAGCACAATTATATCATGTTAAAAGTTGAAGCAATCAAAATATTTGAAACTTATTTAGAAAAATGTTTTTCACAATTTTCAGGAATTTCTTCATTCAAAAAAGAAATTTTATTGACCTTAAGGAGAGTCACAACAATCAGGGCTTTGCCTTAAATCACGCTGTTTTTATCATGAGAATTTTATTCTCACAGAAGCAGGGATTTTTGTGGAGTTATGACTACTATGCTCAAACTATGCTCAAAACTTTTATCTTAAATACTGGCTCGTTAAGGCAAAAATCGGCAAGCAGAAAACTCACTCGAATAATATACTCCTATTCAAAAAGAGCAAAGCTGTTTATATCAGGAAACCTTCTGACCATTACGACTCTCTTTTCTATCATGGATGAGTGACTGTTATCTAAAAAATAACGAAATTTAAAATAAAATTAGGAAAAAAAGAATTTTGTATCATAGAATTTTGTGAAATGATTATTTTTTGTTTTTTTTTAGCAACTACATGAATAATATGGAGTGGGATCTGCAGAAGTACACAGTGAGATATAACATGGCACAAGAGCCGATGGGCAATTACACCGAACTAATATTCAGTCTTCAACTGAACCGACGGCCCTCGTTCATGCTACTCAACACTGTACTACCCACCTCATTTACCAGGTGAGTGTAAATTTACAGATGGTATTGACTCACAATTTTTTGTCTCATCACGATTGCTTTAACATGAGTTATCATCAA